CGTTCTCTGTCCCCAGCTGTGTCCCACAGGGCACCGTTAGTCCCTCAGGCAGCAAGTTCATGACCGTTCTTGCTCCTCCTGCATTAGCTGATCAGAAATTCTCTAATGACCCCAAACACCCTGTGATGCTGGGTTGTGCTGCCTGAGAAGCTGTCAGGGAATTCTCTGGGGGAGTTTCATGAGGATGATAGGAGGACCCTTGGGGAGGGTCTCCCGGAGCCATAATGACAAGGATCAGCTCTTTCCCTGTCAGGCAGACCGAGGACGCTGGCCCTGAGCACAGATGTGTCGAATTCCATATGAGTGAGGAGACGGAGGGGGCAGACAGCCCCAGGAGCGGGGAGCCTTGTGGGCTCTGCAGTCCGGGCCTCGCTCCCCTGCTCTGGAGCGGGCCACATAAGAGCACCAAGCCTGCTGGCTCTTCTTTGGTAAACTGACCTTTGCCCACCCCAGGGCCACGTGTTAGTCTCTCTTTCACGAAACAGCTGACTCCACCTCCTCTCACTGACCAGGAGGTCGTTAACTCAGCTGTGTATGTCGCTGCGTCCCACCCAGTGACTCACTTCTGTTTGCTCTTTATAGGGTTAAAAATTTCAGAGCCAACTTTTAAAATAGGAGTTTTTCATGTACAAATCTGAATTTCTGTTTCACCTCAGGAGGGTGAAAAAATAAATAGAAAGATAGAAAAGAAATGGAACCTCCGTAGCTAGCTCATCCTTTACTTACGAGACCAAACCTGAAGTCCCTGCTCTCCCGTGGATTCGCTGGGACCTCTCAGTATCTCTCACCCATCAGGCAAAGCTGAAGAGATGCGGGAACAAAAGGTATAAAATGTGGATGCCTAACGGCTGCCCTTTCTGGAGAGATAGGAGTCACCCGCTCAGGAAGAGTCACAGGCATGGCAAGCTGGATTACAGACATTCACTGAATAATCAAGTGAAGAACCTGCTAGTATCAATGTTCTGCTGGATGCTGAGCACAGTGTGTATGACACCTAAAAAGTACTGTGCAGTTTTCCAACACTGATAGAAAAGACATGGAATGGAATTCAGCATGCAAATGTTGATTTAAAAAAATCAGATTACAATTAGGATTATCCTGGTTCTGAAAAATAAAATGCTTGTATGCATAAGAAAAACTCTTACAAAAGATAGAATGTGTGAATATGTTAGTGGTTGTGAATATGTTTAACTGTGGTTTTCTCTGGGTGGCAGGTTGAAGTCATTTTATCTTAATGTTTTATTTATTCATCAGCATGTTATTTAATTATTTTATTTTGTTAGGGTGTAGGGGTGTAGGAGGTAATCAGGTTTAATTAATTTTTAGAGGAGGTACTGGGGATTGAACCCAGGACCTCACTCATGCTAAGCATGCGCTCTACCACTTGAGCTATACCCTCCCTCCCAGTTTGGGGTCATTTTAATTCCTTCTTACGTCTTTCTGAAGTGCCTACACATCTCTAACATTGAGCTTATACCAGCATTTTTTTTTAATAATCTGGATTATAAATCTATTTGGATCAGGGGAAAAAACCAAATGGTTTCTTTTAGGTCATGTGAATTTCACATCAATTTTTAAATAGCTCTCCAGTCCTGCCAGAAATCCTGGCAGAAGTTATAGAAAATTCCACTCCTGTGCAGAAGTGCCCTTGCGTTACTTTTAGCCCTGATTGTGTTGCCAGCATTTCAGTCCTTTCCCCTGGACCCTCAGTTTAGTTCCTCAGGCACAGCACGGAGGACTCCATTCCTTCCCTCCATGGGAAGTTTGCTC